TCCGACTCGAGTGATCCACTCACAGACACATAATAACGACTATTTTAAAAAAAAAGAACACCGAAAAAAATGAATTTGCTAAACTAACTGAAAGTGTATTACTAAAATTGCAACACGACATTTTTGCTAAAGTAACCGCGCACATGGGTAAAATAGGCAAAGTAATGGCAGTTTTAACATAATAGTAAAGATAAATTTGCAATTTAATTTTTTGCTTTAACAGCACTATGGACTATTTGCTAAAGTAACTGCGCACTTGGGTAAAATAGGTAAAACAGTTGCAGCTTTATCATTACGTTAAAGCTGAATTAGCAATTCACAATTTAGCTGTAATAGCATCTAAGAATTTTTGCTGATTTAACAACGCGTTCTGGTAGAATAGTTAAGTTAGTTGCTGTTTTAACATTAATTTTACGCTAAATTACCAATTCACATTTTAGCTGTAACAGCTTAAAAACATTTTTGCTGATTTATTTATGCATTTGGGTAGAATAGCTAAATTTATTGCAATTTCAGTCATTTACAGATTGCTATTTTAGTACATCTAATTTTTACTGAAATAGCAAATATCCTTCTAGCTGGTTTAAAAACAACATTTGCTAGTTTAGCAATACCATAAATGAATTACTCAATGAAAGGAAAAGCGCTTCAACAGTCACGTATCACCTACCTGGTGCACTTTAGATAGGTTTTTGCGAGTTCAAAACGCCCCAGCCCCTCCTTTCATCGAACTTATGGAAAGGGAGGGGGGGAGGGGGGGCTTCGTTGAGGAATAGCGCTGCCTTCCCCCGAAAATGATTCGGTGGGAATTCTCCTTTCTTGCGTTTCTATATAATATCGAGGCAGTATCCGGGCCTTCCATGTATATTCCACTTGGGGTCCTTCATTTTCGCATCCCTTGTCACCTCTAAATATTGCAATGCACTGCAGATACACCAGCAAGAACAATATTGGCGTGTGGGGCGTGCAGATAGGGCCGTATAGAGAAAAAACTGCGCTTGTTCTGTATAACCGGCCCACAGAAGCGAACTTCTTTCGTAGGTACTATCACCCACCCAAACTGCCTCGCTAGCGCCTTAAAGCTCGCTGCCCATGATCGGATTTTTATGCATTTTACATTGTTCAACAAAACTGGTGTTATATTGCGAAATATAGGTACAATTTTTCTTAGGTACAAACAGGAACTATTTCGATGTATTTTGAGCTGATGAGTCCGAACCCTCAAATTTTCCTGTAAAGCCGATTTTTCCTAGCCTAAAGTGTAAAAGCTTTCCTGGCCTCGAAGTGTATGTTGCAAATACATTTTAAGAATGTCTTCAGTCTGCGATACATCGACTTTGCTGTATTTGAACTGCTGAATCTGAATATGATCTCAGATTTCGGGGTTATGTATATGGGAATATAGCATCAGGTTTTCAGCCTGAATTACATGGAAATCGATGTATCATACACGCGGAATTTTTTTTAAATTTCCCTGAAAGTGGACACAGCCCGGAAAAGCAATTTTCTCTGAAAAATCGGAACTCCTAGAAAACGAGGGGTTGTCAGAAATAAGCGGAGGTCAAATTCGGGCTCAAAGGTTCTTAATATATCAGGAGAGACCGAAAGAGGATCTCGGAAAATTCCAAAACTCCTCAGAACAGGAATATCGTCGCAAGAATTCCGTTTTTCCTTGGAAAATCGACTTTTCCGGGTAAAGTGTGCGTAATAGGAAAAATCCAAGATCATATTCAGATTCAGCAGTTTAAAATAAAGCAGAGTCGATGTATCGCATACTGAAGACATTCTTAAAATATATTTTTAACACACTTCGAGTCCGGGAAAGCTTTTTCACAAATTTAGGCTAGGAAAAATCGGCTTTACCGGAAAACTGGAGGGTGATGGCAAAAACCGCGGATTTAGCAGCTCAAAATACGTAAGAATCACTGCACCACAGTCCCAGGAAAATTTACAAAAATAAATTGCATCCATATAACAAATATACGTAAAATTTGCTCATTTTCCCGGAAAAAAGTCGCTTTTCCGGAAAATTGAGAGGTGATAGGGGAGGAAAAAGGCCAGTATAGCTCTAAATACATTGAATTAGTCCCATCTCGTACCTGAGAACAATTTTAATTACATTTTCAGGGGGAAGCAGTCGCAAAAATACCAAGACTGACCATTTTCTGGATAAAATCGGCTTTTCCGGAAAACGGAGGTCTTATTTGGATCCAGCGCCTCAAAATACGTAAGAAGCACTATGTTTAGTCCGGGAGAAATTAGAAATTTGTCATTTTTTTTGTTGAACAGCGAATCAGAATAAATGTAACAGATAAATAGTAAATAAATTACCTAATGTTTAATGAATAAATTAATTTAAATTATTACATTTATTTGATTCATTAAATCGTCATTTTAATTATTTTCATACCTCAAGTCAATAAAAATTAATAAACTATTTGTGTTGACCCGTAAGAATTTATTTTCAGTGCAATTTAAGATAGTCAGTCTTGTAGGCTAAACAGCGCCTTGACTTTTCTTCGTAGGAGAATCGTGGAAAAAGCAGTTTTTCAAAAACATATTTTGTGACATATATGCATGTATACATATTTTCTTCCTTTTTTTTCCTACGAACATAGAGCCCTTCAGCTTTAAAATGACTCTTCATCCCATCAGATGTAAGCAAAATTCCACTTTTTCAAACTCAAGCTCGTTCCCAAGTGAACTACATCGTGAAGCAGGTTGCCGCGCTCCCAGGCAGTTACCCGGCAGCTAGCGCTGGCAGCGCCACTCTTCTCATTCTATCATTTATTTTCGCGGTTATTTTTTTCATTTTCATTGTTTTTCCTTCTAGAACGTGCCAAATAAGATTGCTCCATAGATTGCTCAGTTGCCCTTCCTCGAAAGTATCAGTGCAGTGCGAAAGTGATAAAGTTAATTTATTTGGGAAGTGTTGAAGTGTTAGTTGTGTCGCTGTTCTGTGTGAAATGTTAAAAAAATGAGCTCGCGAGCAAAGAGGATCGTTCAGCAATCCCTGGTTGACAGCGGACCAAACCGACACCGGCAAACCACAAATGTTCCTGTAAGTTTGCATGTTTGCACTAGCACTGCTTCTCGAAAAATGTCCTTTGCACATTCATCGTATCCCTGTGTAGCATCGTAGCCCTTTGTCCATTGAACTCAAGTCCTCCAGCATTACATTTGATAAGTTCATGAATCCAATGCACACGTCAAGTCCTCGCCCTCCACGCACAATGGCGTAACTACACTTAGAGATGAGCTCGGGAAAGCATTGAATTGTATGGACGAACATCTCCAAGTGCAGTTACGCCCTTATGCGTGAAGGGAGACGAATTCATGGTATATCAGAGCTCTTGGTAGGCTTCTGTACTTAAGGAAATGTTCATATGTATTATCGCTTTGACCACAGGTTCAGGTACATAGCTCAGTTGGATTACATTTTGCAATCGGGAACCACTGTTTCTAACTCTTCTGTCAAAGCAGCTTTCTGCAAACGGAAACCAATGTTTTTTTCTGAAATGAGCTAGAAATAGTGATTCCTTATTTCAAAATTTGGTCCAGTTGGAAATGAGGCAAATTGCTGAGGACTGGACACACGTTTAAAGTGGTGGCTGATTAGCCAAGTGTTGCAATCGAATTCCTTCAAAGGAGAGCGGCCTACCCTATTTTACTGGGCTTAGGGTAATGCATCCACTTGCGTCAACGAACTATACGTCTAGAATGGCCGCGGAACCTGCGTAACGTGCATGGGCCGGTTTTGAAAGGCCAGAGGAGGGGGCAGGGGAAATCTTGAGTAAACCTAGCCTCAATCTCCATTTCCGCCGCGTCCTGCCCATAAGGATTACATGTGAAAATTTCCACCTTTGTAAATTTTAATTATTTTGAGGTGTGACTTCGAAGTTCCTATTTTTGAGTAAAGAAGACCTTGTGAGATGCGATTATGATGCCATCTTTTCATTGCTTTCACTTTATTCAACTATATTTGGCAAAATGTGGGCTGTGTTTAACAAGGGTTTAGATGGCAGCTTGCAGCATTATCGCCAGTAAACCTAACCTAAATCAAGTTCAAAGTGTTGCGCAGTGTTTGCACTATTCAGCCCTTCTACATGTATAGTTTTGTTGACCTGCGTTTAATCCACCCTTCGCGGTGAACGGTTAGGCTAGCTAAGGTGAGGTAAGGTTAGCTTAGGCTGCGTGTCATTACATCCACCTGTGATACATCCACCCATGTACAAAACTAAGCTAACCTGACCTGACCTTACCTAACCTAACCATTCACCGGTGAAAACCTAACCGTTCATTGGCGAAGGGTGGGATTAACGCAGGTGATAAGTTCTGGGTTGACAGCATGTTGATGGGCGCAAAACGCAGGTTGAAATGTTGATAATTAAGAAATCGACAAACTAAGACGTAGCTGTCGCTGAATATTAGCAGTGTATCTTCATTTCTTGAGAGCATATTCATCAAGGACCCCTCCTTTCCCTCCTCTAATTTTCTTTCCTTGAATGGCTATTACCACTTCTTCCTATTATTTTGCATGTCTTCCTCTGTTTTTCTTTTTCAGCTGCAAGCAGCAGAGAAAAGTTTTGTCCCAAGCAAAAGAGCTAGAGTGATTTTGGATTCAGATGAAGAAAATAGCATGCCCAATATGTCTGATCATTCTATGGTCAATACCATAAATCCTACTAATTCGTCTCCAAAGTCTGGAGATAATGATAGCAATTTGCCATCGGGTCACTCCACTCCTGTAGCTACGCCCGTGTCCACCCTCCCTCCTCCTGAACATGATTCACATGAAGAAAATACCATGCCAGATATGTCTGATCATTCTATGGTCAATACCATCAATCCTACTAATTCGTCTCCAAAGTCTGGAGATAATGATAGCAATTTGCCATCGGGTCACTCCACTCCTGTAGCTACGCCCGTGTCCACCCTCCCTCGTCCTGAAGATGTTGTCACTAATAGTACTTCAGTCAGCACACCATCATCAAGCATACCTTCTAACAGTTTAAGCACCTCTATGCTTACTCCCACAAGCTCCCACAGTACTTCAATTACTGGATCTGCGAGACGTCGGTTGCTCGACACTACAAAGAATTACATTGAAAAACTTCTGGATCAATCGGCTGATGGGAAAATAATAACTAATTTCTTTGATAAACATAATAGGCTAGATGATTCACTACGATCAGCGCTAGTAAAGATCTTAATGACTGATGAATTGAAGGAAGATTTTTCGAAAATTGTATCATCTGAGAGATTCGAAAATATAAGTGAAGCAATTTGCCAAGTTTTCCCAACAGAATCTACATTCACATATTTCATACCTTACTACCGAGATAAAGATGGTAATAGTCATCCATCCAGAGGAAAATTATTTGACAAATATAATTCTTTGAGAAGAAAATATAAACAAGAAGGGTTGATCTTAGGCAGGAAACGCAGATCTCTCTCTGGTGCTCCAGCAAATAATGGTACATCTTTTTCCTGACTCTCTCCTAGTTCAATGTTTTAATTTTCCCTTTTCTAAACAATCAGGTTAGGACCTTGTTTAACAGAAAGGAACCAAGCCACATCAGCAATTGCCAAATTTAACTGGGCAATTTAATTTTTTACGAGAGAACGTTTTTGCGGATTCCATTGAAAATTTTAAATAATTTGCTTCGCATTGTGGAGAAAAATCACTGAAATTTGCACAAAAATCCGCAAAAGACTGTTTCCTTGTAAAAAATTAAATTTTCCAATTAAATTTGGCAATAGCTGATGTGGCTTGGTTCCTTTGTGTTAAACGCGTTCCAAATACAATTGCAACCTAAACAGCTAACGTAAAATCGATGACCGAAGTGCAAATCTACGTACCTCCGTTTCCGACGTTGCAGAATTGCTGTTATATTTCTTTTTGCCTTTGGAAAACTAGTCAGCAGATTCTTGATTTTTCTCTCTGTCAAGAGGATAATATGTAAAAATTACAAGCTATGAAGTTGGCTTGTTTCTCTCTTAGAAAATAATACAGGAGTGAACCTATTGAAACATCGCAATCGGAATACAAGGTTTCGCACTTCGGCTATCAATTTACTGACTGTCAACAAGATGATGAAACAGACAGAATGCCATGGAATAAAATCCAGTCACTAATCGCATAAGAGCACGGGCAACTTAGTCTTACGTAAAAATGTTGCTTGATTTTTTAGTTTGCATGTGGCTCTTAAACAATTTATTTGGCCGCAAGGAAGTAAGCGTGCTGCTGAACATGAATCTCAAAATATGTGGGAAAACGTAGAGCACCAAACATAATCCACCTGAATTGAATTTCTCTCAACGTGCTCCCTGTGTGATCTTAGGTCAAGTGTCAGGAGATTTTTTCAGGTTGGGCATAACAACCCACATGTTTTTCGTTGAATTTTACTTTCAGACAAAGTTTATGTTTCAACAAACACTATAATTATTGGGAGTTGTTGACTCATTGTGAGTGAAGGTTGCTACTGCTTTTTTAGAACTTTTGCTTCTTTATTTTTTTTTCATCGAATTATCTGTGTGAATTGCCTGTACTAAAGAAGATGGGCGAGGGGTTATAATTGAACCTGAAGTTATTTTCAGAATAACGACTTCTCTGGGAAAGATAAACTATGAGTTTTTTTCTGGTTTAGGTGGTGCGGACTCCGCAATTACTCCTGAAGTTCAAGAAAAAATAGCATTCCTGAAGAACAGTGCTGAACCTTGGGAAACTGTTGTGGAATACTGGGAATGTACAATCAAATGTCGTCTCAACGAAATCGATCCCGATTCTATCAATGAATATTTCAAAACCTACCTTGCCCTTTGCAAACCTAACGGTCACTTACTGGTAGGTGAAATTATTGCATTAGCTAATAGGTAACTACAGAAGAAATTTTACCTCCTCTTTTTTATTTTTGTCTGTGGTCTATTTTTATCAATGTTGGATTGCAACTTTGAGTATGTTTAATCTTCGTTCATCTCTATTTCATTCTCCATTAACTGTAGTTTCAGGCAAACTTGATCTTATTTAAGTTTGATCATATCAAGCTCTATAAATTAATCCTATTTTTAATAATTAACCACAATTCTACTATGGTTGGTTTTATTCATTCATTAAAATTTGGTGGCAACGTAGAGCTCGAAGTTCCCTCCAAAAAATTTATTTTTTTTGAATTTTGAATTTATCATTATTTGATAACAATTTAAATATATAATCTGGAAAAATTAAATTATTCCGAAAAATAATTTCGGACTTTTAAATGTGAAGTGCTAGTATTGTGATGCCTTGTATTTCAAAAAAGAGGAGGTGAACGGCCATTTTAACAGATGTTGTCATAATGGTCTTATCAGACTTGCCGAGCCTGGAATCAAAGACCAACTTCGCGACCTCTTCTCCAAACCCATTTTCATGACCAACATTTTGAGGTACATCAGTTGTATGGCTTTTGCATCTCTGTCTGCTTCCAAAGCCCATATAATTTTGAACCAAATCTTCTGCTATCGACTACGAAAAATCATGGAGAATTTAAGTTTTATGTTGACCAGCTTCTCGAAAGAAAAATAAAATTTCTAAGAAAGTCTGCAACGTCGCAAATGGAGAAACGTCGTCTCTCATTTTGCCCGAAAATATGTATGTATAAAATTGAAGGCATTATGACTGGCCTTTCTCAACTTATATTCGTTTGTAACGATAAACAATGGGACGCGTTTGCTACGGCGCCTTGATACAACTATACAACCTCGACGGATGTCCGTATTGCGTTCAGAAAATTGAAGGCGTTTTGACCCCCTGCTCATACTACCTGTAGTTGATTCGATCGACAAACGCGTTGGTCGGCGGTGACAGGGACTTGATGCATTTTTTTCAACTTGATGGATGTCCGTATCGCACCGACTGAAGAGCGAAACTATGTATCTCCATTGCGGTGTTTCAAAATTTCCGTCCTTAATTCATCTCTTCCATGAGAAACAATCCATATTTCCGATATCCATATCCCGATTTTTGCGTACAGTGCGCGTCGTCGTTTGAATTTTGTTAATATTTGTCGTGTATGAAGAATCCCGAATTTTTAGTAAAGTGCGCGTATTCGTTTTAATATTGAGAATGGATCGGAGTCGAAAACGTGGGCGTCCGGCGAAGCGTGGCAATGTTTCTCGCAATTTATCCCCGCGACGCAAAGTGCGGCATGATGGCTATCTCAGTGAGATGGATAATGTATGCCCTATGGGTGAACAGGGAAATAACCTCAATTCATTTCGGCAGAGCACTGATAATTTTATCGAAAATGATTATCCGGAAAATAATTTCGGACTTTTAAATGTGAAGTGCCAGCATTGTGATGGAAAAATTATTGAAATTTTATTTTTCCATCGAGAAGCTGGTCAACATAAAACTTAAATTCTCCATGATTTTTCGTATTCGATAGCAGAAGATATGGTTCAAAATTTAAAGTCGTAAATTTGGATTGTTTCTCATCGAAGAGATGATTTAAGAACGGAAATTTTGAAACACCGCAACGGAGATACGTGGTTTCGCACTTCAGTCGGTGCGATACGGACATCCATCAAGTTTAAAAAAATGCATCAAGTCCCCGTCACCGCCGACCTACGCGTTTGTCGATCGAATCAACTACAGGTAGTATGAGCAGGGGGTCAAAACGCCTTCAATTTTTTGAACGCAATACGGACATCCGTCGAGGTTATATAGTTGTATAGGCATTTCCCCCGACTCTCATAATGGGACTTCAAGGAGTTCCTGCATGAGTTACTGCAGTGTACAATGCATTTCAGTGGGATGAAGGCACATTTATTCCTGTAACTCGGGAACTGTTTGGTGTCCCATGATGAGACTTTGGGAAATGCTGTTAGATCGTGTGAGCGTTAACGACAAAAAAAAAAGGGGGAAAAAAATCAAAATTTTTAAATATACCCTCTTTAAAATATTTAAATTTGAAAATTCAAAATATTCAAAGTGTCTGGAAAAATTGTGTCAAATCTGTTTTTTTTTTTTTTTAATTAAAAAAAAACATGAAACAAAACAAGAAGCTTTAAGCTTCAAATAAGACCTACTGCAAGTTTTTGTGACTAACCGTCCAACAGTTACAGCTATTCTAAGTTGTATTGCTCCTACAGAAATTCAATTTTTTGCAAATTTTACAGTGCCCAATAAAATCAACAGAGCGACCAAATAATCAAACATTTAGGGACATTTTTTTTCTTGCAAGGTATATACAACACATCAAGCTCCTACAGGATCTGAGAGATAAAGGTTCAAAAACAAATTGAGTTGACATGGAAGTGCCTCATTTTTGCAAACTTTGAATAAAGAACTTTGAATCAAATTATGCTCAAGAAGGTGAATTAAAATTTTTATGATATAATTTGAGCACTATTCCACATTCTCTAATGTTTATCTGGTTTGTTGCAGCTAGAGGCAGATTTCAGAAAGCTCTATCCAACGAAAACAACGATCTTTTACAAGAACTGGAAGTCCGTGGAAACCAAGATTTTAAAACTGGCGGAAATTAAATCTGCACGCCCTCTGTTCAGTTCATTGTTGAAGTCCCTGGACATTGATTTAAGTTTGAATGGTAAGCACAGAAATACTGAGAATGTATCTAAAATTCTTCTCTCAACTTCAGAAATTAGAGAGCGGTAGAGTCGCTGAAACCACGTTCTTGTAACCAAAATTTTAACTCATAATGCATTATCATGTTCATTAGGATAGAGATCTATTTCAGTGAAAAATAGAAAACCATGCAACATTTTATTTCAGGCAATGCAACTGCTTAGCCGTAAAAAACAAAGTGGTTGCCAAAATTTCGAATTGTTGGCAGGCAGTTGGTTCCTGTCTGCTGAAATTAGTTATTTTTTGTTCATCAACATCCATTTGTTGAGGCTTGTTATGAGATCAAGGTACACTCTATTACAGGTATGGACAAATGGAATTTTAGAAAGTCGTCGAAATGCGTAGATTTGACAGCGTTTTTTGCTTTTTACCCTTCACGGGCTTTATTTATTAGAAGATCTTTACAAGGTGGAACCGGGGAGGAAAGAGCCCCGGCCCAAAGGCCTAACGATACATTAGATTTGACAGCGTTGAATGGTGTGATTGCGACGCCATATTGGAAACTTGTATATTTCTGTTATAAGAGTGAGTCTCGCCAATTTTGTGTTATTTTTTGGTGTTCTTAACCAAGTTTTTCGTTATATTGAGTTTTATTCATTTTTTAAATTCATCTGATGGCTTATTGAAGCTACCAGATCCGCCAGAACCTCTTCAACAGCTTATTTTGAACTGCGCGGCAAAGACGGTACGACTTGCAACGTCGCTGGATGGCCTACATTCTCAGCGCTGACACTTCGGCACCCTGTTTGTCCATACCTGTAGTAGTGTGTACCTTGTTATGACCATGTTTCTATAGATCGTATTCGATAGTGGTTCAACCTATCGTTTGCATGGTTCAAAATAATAGAACATATCCTCAAACAAAGAATAGCTGAAAAAGGGAAAATTCCTAACAATTTCACTATGTGATGCCACGTGTTACTCATAAGAATCAAAAAACTATTACAAAAATTCCGTTTCCACAGATTACTCAGTTGACTTTTGAGGCTATGTTTACATGTTGAACCAATTGATATCGATAGAATCTCACCTGTTTGAGGTATCGAATACGATCCATTGAATCCTGATAATCTCTTCCATTAGGAGGATAGTAGCACAGTCTGAAATACCAATTTTCCAGAAGTAATTACTTGTAACCTATTGCTCAATGAAAAAAATTAACAGATATTCTGGATGCGTCCGTTCTGTATTAAGATGTTAATTTTCTTGTGTGCATATTTTATAGATCCAGAGAGTCAATCTGCAAATGCTTGTTTTCTTCTATCGGCCCTCCTCCCTGCTCTTACAGTCAAGCAAGGCTGGAAACCCTCAAGAATCGAAAACAAGAGAGGATTCATAATCCATCAGGCAACAAAAGAGGAAGCAGAGGAAGAATTTTCAAGAAGGAGTGAAAAGCTCCAGAGCAAAGGTGTTGGGCCTCAACCAAGCATTATTCTGATTGGAGACCTCCCGGATGTGTCAGCTTTTGTTCGCGTTGACCAGACGTACTATAGTTGTGATACGGTGCAGAGATCTGTCGATTTGTGTTTCAAAATACACAAATCCTTAAAATTAAATTTTGCCCCGGATTGTTTGCTGAATTGGCTATTCATAGAACAATACATCTACGAATTTGATTGCAAATATGACCTGCAGTATGCATCGTTAGCTAGATTTATGAACGATCTGGTATGAGTCTCCTTTTTAGATTTGGAGCGTTATGCCTTTAAAACATAGGCACGTATAGATACATCTTTTATTCCCCTTTTTTTCCTTTTATTTTAATTATTTGTTCGTAAAATGAATGAAAACAGTCACCTTTCAATCTTTTGCTTTTCTCATTAAAATAGGATTTTTGAATAGACAGTTGCTCCCTTTACACCGTGGCCCTCTAAAATTCAAGACAAAATGATTCCTTGCTTTAAATGCAAAAACAAATCGGAACGGTTTAAATGCTTATCGGATTTAATTTACCATTTCAAATTTGTTCACAAAATGAATAGGTTTGAACCTGTTATTTGTACTTTTCCATTTTGTCGTGCCGAATTCACTGACAGATCTAACTTTTCCCACCATTTCTCGAGAAAACATGGGAAATCAACTCAACTTTTGTTAAATTCAGATCAAAGCAATATTTTAACTAACAATCTTCACTATGAGCCATCAACATCAGCCACCAATGAAACAGAAGTGGTTACAGAACTAGACCCACTGGTTGATAAGTCAGAAAAGATCCTCACTTGTAGTGAGCCTGTATTAAATGTAGCTGTAAATGAACTTCAGAACACAACTGTGATTTCTGCATGTAGTGATAGCTCAGGACTGACAACGACTGACCTAAATTTAGAACTCTCTGTTCAAGAAGAAATCGTTCATTTCTGCCTAGAAATGATTGGTCACCCGGACATACCATTTTCTCATGTTGAATTTGTTGTAAAAAGAGTTGCACATTTACTCTCTATTGTAACCAAATTTTATCAACAGAAAGTATCAAGTATATGTGAAAATTGTGATGAAGAATGCTCCAGGCTCATTTCTCAAAAAATAATCGACCTTTCTAATTTTGTACAAAATAGTTTTAAGCAATTACAGTCAAAATACCGGCAAGAACATTTTTTCTTAAAGAAAGGGCTTTATATAGCCCCTCAACAAAAATTTCTTGGGCAGACTCTGAAAATAAGGAAAATCAACAATAGATTCAGACATGCTCCTGTTGAGGAATCATGCGTTTTCATACCGTTACGCACTCTATTTGAAATATATCTAAGCCAAGAAAATGTCTTAACTCGTATTAAGGAATATATGTCAGGTGTAACTAGTGAAAAAGTGATCCTGAAAAATATAATGCAGGGTGAATATTGGAAAAATGTCACTTTTCACTCTGATGGAATTACCTTGCCTCTCTGTTTATTTAATGACGACTTTGAGACCGGAAATGCACTTGGTAGCCATGCAGGCAAACAAAAACTAAACACTACTTATATTTCTCTTCCTTGCCTACCACCTGAGAAAAGAGGAGGCTTGAACAGTATTTTTCTAGGTCTTGTGACAAAATCTAGCAATCTCAAAACATTTGGTAACCGTTTAGTTTTCAAAAATATAATAAAAGAACTTATCTACCTTTCCAAGACAGGTATCACTGTTCAAAATGAAAAAATATATTTCCAACTGGCCGCTCTACTCGGTGATAACCTTGGGTTGAATGCAATTGGAGGCTTTACTACTAACTTTTCCAAAACTGACTTTAGTTGCCGTGTTTGCTTAGCTGACAAAGCTCAAAGAAATACGATGACCGTCGAAAATAAATCCCTTCTTAGAAACAGACAAAATTATGCTGCACATTTAGCAAAAAATGATATGAAAAGTACAGGTATCAGGGAGCCATGTTTTTTCAACGACGTTCCGAATTTTTTTATCTTGGAGAATTGTGTTTTAGATGTTTTACATGACTGTCATGACGGTATTATAAAGTATGATCTGGCTTTTATTTTCAGGTATTGCATCCGCACAGCCAAATATTTCACTTTAGCGCAATTAAATCAGCATATTGTAACTTTCAATTTTGGCTGTGATAATTCTTCCAAACCTCCCATGCTCAGCGAAAGTATGCTTAAGAAAAAAACATTTAAGATGTCGGCCTCGGAAACTGCCTGTTTACTGAAGTATTTAGGAATTATATTGGGGTCTTTAATTCCATCTGATGACAAAATTTGGGAACTTTATACTGCCCTTAGAAGAATTCTCGATATAGTATTAAGTCCTGCATTAAATCCAAATGCCTCAATATTGCTGGCTGATTATGTCGCTAAACATCACTCTTTGTACCTACAATTGACAGGAAGAACACTTACTCCAAAATTTCATAACTTAGTTCACTACCCTCGAAAAATCCTACAGTTAGGGCCTCTCGTTCATCTGTGGGGAATGCGAAATGAAGGCAAAATTCAAATAATGAAACAAGCCGCCACTGCAACAAGGTGCCGTAAAAATCTGTCCTTAACAACGGGAAAAAGGACTCAACTTCAATTAGCTTACAGATTCAGCACCAAGGCATTCTCAAGTGACACCATCGAGTGGGGCAAAGCAGAAAAAATAAAAACGAACTATGGCTTTGTAAGAAAATTGAACAGTCTCAATGTTACAACAGCAGTGCCAGAATGTCTTCAAAATGATAATACTATCAGGCCTTCATGGGTTCTACACAACGGTATTAAATACTGCAAGGGGTTTGCTCTTTATGTTGATGTTGATGAGGAAACGAGTACTCCTTTGTTCGGTGTAATTGATAACATTTTTGTCACAGAAGACAAATTTGTTTACTTCCTTTTGAAAAATCTTAGAACTATTCATTTTGATGAATTACGCTTTGCATTTTTAATAGAACCAGTTGAATCTTTTTCTATTATTGATATCAACAAACTGCATGACTTTCATCCTCATAATGCTGTTAAGATTCCTAAAGGAGGAACGTACATTTCTTTGCTGCACAATGCTTAAATCATGTAGCAGCTGACTTGTCTCTACTGGTTCTCTATATTGAGATACTTTGGAAATACCTTGTGTCAGTGGAGATACTATGACAAATTTAGGAACTGCCACTGGTTGAGAATGAGCAATTATTTTATGGTCAACCTTGTGCAACCTTTACTTTTACTGAAACCTTCACTGAAAAGCGGGTAATTAAGTCAAATTGGTCTATTAACAATTTGAATTTTAGAGGAGCAAATACACTGAATGTTTTTGTAATAGTTCTACCAAGGTGAAGCTTGAACTTCCTCATTATTATTATTTATACTATTCCTTTATTTGTTTAGCCCTCATTTGCTAATATTTTTATTATTATATTTATTTTTTTTTTAAAATTTGCAATATGATAAATATTCTTTTTTTAAATTCTGCTACCCAATTGAACTCATCCTCGTTGAATAATATAAATGTGTAAGATTTGGGAATCTTTAAATATTATTTTTATTCTGTTAACATAAAATTGCCCGCCTTTTACAAATGTTAGGATTGGGCATAATATACCCAGGCTGTTGCAGACATGTCCTGCCTTTACTCATTTTTTGTCATTGATAATTTTAAGTACTTGTTTATTGTTGTAAAACTGCCCTGCCTTTACTCATTTTTTGTCAGTTATTGATAATTTTAAGTACTTGTTTATTGTTGAAAGACTGGATTTCTTTCATTTTTTTGACAGTTACCGATACTTTTACTACTAGCTTATCGTAGTCAGACTTTCCTCTTTGTCAGTTTGTCCTCTCAGTTACTTACATCTAAAACTACTTCTTACTCACAGTATGGTTTCAAGTAAATATGATTAGATGAACTACTTTACAATTTGATTCAAACAGAATTTTCCTTTAATTTTAATAAAAGTTGAGAAACCAAAAGAAGTTGCAATGTTGAAAACTTTCCTGAGCTTCATCTTTCTACTCAAAAATGTTTTCTCTAAATTTTTCCTGTTAATGGCATTCCTATAGCCTTCCCCATAGCCTTGTAAAAATATTTGGAGGAAAATTTCAAATTTTACTGGAAGAACTAAAGTAAAATACTCCAAAATTTTCCATTTTTCCAATGCAGGTTTGCCACTTGGCTTTTTACTGCTCCAGCTCTACTGTACTCAGGTATTAATTAGAATTGATTTGATGAGATGATTTTTTATGTTTACCTTTGTATGCATATTATTATTATTATGTTAACTTGAAAACTATCCTATCGTGTTAGTAACCTAGCAAAAATGCTGACTAAATAATTTCATTATAATGGGATAATTGAGATTTCTCAACGTTTTTCTCTTTTTTGAAGCAGTCATGCCACTCGGATTCTTGGTACCTCAATTCATACTGAAGTAATGGAAAGAGGTTGATACATTTTCTTTTCCTTCATGCATCACTGTACATCTTTATAACTTTTTTGCTTATTGTTAGTTTTATGAACTTCTTTATTTACTTACCCAATGTTAGAATTATGATTTTTGCACAAAGTCAAAAGCCCAGTAAAAGCAGCACATCAATATCTTTGAATAATTGAAGAATTGATAGCATTTCAATATTTTTCATTTTTTCGATGCAGTAATGCCACTTACCTTCTTTCTGGCTCAGCCTGGATTCAAGTAACAAGACCAAAGTAATACGTTCTATAATGCTTAAGTGCTCATATTTGTTAATGCGTTAACTTTGGTTATTTTTCCTCTCCATTTTGTGTGGGATATTTTCCTTTGTGCTCATTGATTTTTTATTTTTTCCCCTTATTTTATCACATAGACTGCTCTCTTTTCTATTGTCATTTGTGTTTTAATGTTTTGAAATATATTTAGTCTTATAAAATACAATTTTTTAATCAAATTTGAGACCTCAACATATCCCTGATTCTTTTTGCTGAAGTAACAGATACTCCTAGTTCCATTAAAATGTACAAAAATGAACTTACACCCTGAGTGAAAACTTATTCTAATGGAAGTCTCAGCATGAAGCGATCAACAGATCAAGGATGCTCTAAGTCCCTTTATTTACACTAAAAGTAAGATAGTTGATAGGAGACAGTTGATAGGAGATAGTTGTTTGATTTATTATTTTCATTTTTCAATGTAGATATTTTCTGCAAAAATTAACATAATCAGTAGAAACCGGATGCTGCAGGGAACATGTACATACCTATTTTTAGGTTTAAGGTGATTCGTCAATGTTTCTGACGTAGTCAAATCGGCAAGCGA